CAAAAGTCACTGAGCTATTTCCTATGCATATTAGGGAAGCAATCAGAGGGAAGCTTATTTGTCATAATTTGTTTTTGCCTTCAAATCTTGGCTGAGTTTTCCCTTACAACAATAAACTGGTGTCCCCTTCTCCCCCCCCCCCCCCCTTTTTTTTTTCCCCAAATGATATCACAGCAATAAAACACAGTGGAGTGAATTTTACCAGACCATTCATACACAGCATGGGTGGGTGAAGGCAGAGGCCACGCTGCTGTACCACCCCCAGGCACATATTAATGGGGCCCATAAAACACACCCTGTTGTGTCTTCTGGCTTAATTGTCAAATGGTTTCCAGATTGAAAGCCCCCGAGTAGAATCTTTTAGAAGATCTACGTTCATTAGGAAACATCAAAAGCAACAGTAAACATAGAAAATGGGAGCTGCCATTTCGAACTCATGGAGACGTACATCAGTCAACAGGGCTGCTGACTTTTTCTTTCATATTGGCCCAACCTGATTAAAAAGAAAAAAGGGGAAAAAAAAAAAAGAAAAACAAAAAAACAAAAAAAACTAGTAGCCAGAAACTGAATACATCAAAAAAAAATTTTTTTTCACCAACTGATGGTCTGCTTATGTTCTCATGGTCCTGGCTAGTTCTCTGCCTGCTTTTGAGCTATAAGGATGTATAAGAAAGTAGAAAGAAAATGGAATCTTGATGATTAAGAAGCACTGGCAACAGCTTGTAAAAAGGAAGGGCAAAACTTTGGGTACCTCAGAGCTTTGGGGTGCCCATCCTGAGTAATCCCTTAATCATGTCTCAAAGATCCTACAAGCACTGGCTCTGTTTCACCTTGTTTCAGTCTCCTTTTCCTTGAATTCGAGCCATCACAGGGTGGTGCAGTAACTTCCTACAGATGTCTCTTTGATCATCATCCCCTACTTCAGAGCATTTTGCAGCTATTCTCATGGCACCATGAATCCTCTCTGTGCCATGTTTCCACATTTCTCCTTCACTCTTCCCCTCAGACTTTAGATGTCAGGTAAGTCTACGTAGGAAATAAAAGTATTTTAGGGGTTTCCCAGTTTGGGGAATAGAAACCAATGGAAAAAACTATCAGTACTTTTACAGTGTATACAGTCTGTCTGCATTCATAGATCACCTGGAGAGGTCCATCATCACACTGAGGTACTTTAATACTATCTGTATTGTTCTCAAGTAGATGACTAAAACATTCTACTATCAGTTTGCTAGCAGAAGTGTTTGAAAACAGCCAGGTGATTTGCACTGTGGAATTCCCTGTGGACAATAAAGAGGGTTTGTTATGAGGAGTTCAGACCACAAACTACCATCTGCACGTTGAAACTTGGATGGCATTAACATTACCATTTTTCTCCGCTCGACTTCTTCCTGAAATCTGCTGCAATTCCAAGAGAACTATGCATTATATCATTGTATGTAAAATGAGGTTGATAACACTTTCTTTCTCCCTCTCTCTGCCTGTTTTGTCTATCAGAGCTGGAGATTCTCCTGGTTGTTTTTTGGAATGTAGCACCTTACACATCACAGCCTCAACCTATTCCTCTCCTAGGACAATCTCCTTGCAAGTGATGGTGGAACACAGACCTTATTATGCACACTGGTGCCTTAGCCTGCCTTCTACCAGCTTCAAATCACAAGGGTGATTTGAGCCAACAGTGAAAATAGAAAATAGTGTCTTCAAGTTGAAGCCTGAGAGTAGCAAAGAGCCACTGGGAAGTTCCTCAGCTGTTCTCTTAGACCACAAGGTGGAAAGCTGGAACCAAATGCATCAGCTTTGGCCATAATTTTGTCTTCATAAAGGGGCGTGGATATCACAACACTACACAACTGGCTTTGCCACAACATCATGCCAGTAATGCTAAAGGATGAAGATGATCCTTTTGGGGAATGCTGCAAAGGGCGTGTGAGTGGTGCAGGAACATCTGCAGAAGGTTTTTCTGTCTCTCTGCCATCCTCCTGCACTGGGAGAAACTCATCTTTTCAGCCCTGAGAGAGTGGTGTCTTTCTCAAGCATGAAATACGGTGCAGATTAACATGAAAACCAAGTCACAGAGACATTAAAAAAAAAGAGGTCTGGAAGGATGAGGAGAGGTCATCAAGGCCTCTTCTTTCCCTCCAGGCAGGATCAGCTCTTCCTAAGCCATTTCTGACAGATGTTTGTCTAATGTGTTTTTAAAGACCTCAACCGGTTCAAGAATCACAGCCTCCCCAGGCAATCCACACTAGTGCTTAACTGGCTTTATGGTTAGCAACTTGCCTCTCAAGTTTAGCTGAGCTCTCCCAGGGTTCAGTTTAAGACCATGACTTCATGCCTTGCTCCCTGAGGATACAGGGAAGAGCTTATTCCCTTCCTCTTTACAGCCTTTTTTATGTAGCCAGAGTGCTGCAGGGAACCCTGGATAATGCCTTCTTACTGCTGTTTTGATGTCTGTGCTGTTGGCTAACCTCAGCTGTGCCATGAGCTCCCATGTATTCCTGTAGGATTTACACTCACTTTCAACATAGCTAAAGGACCCTTCTGCTGTCCTGCTCCTGGCCAGAGATGGTGACACAACAGCTGTTAGGTCTCTGCTCAGCACCACAAAGGTTGCAGGGATGACTTGTTGTGGACTTTTGACAGCAGGGCTTTATGCTTGTGGAAGGCTTCTGCAAGTACAGCAATGCAGGTGGTTCCCTGAAGGGGTGATGTTTGCTCTTGGCTCTACAGTGCCAGTCTGTGACAGTAGTAATATCACCCATACCCTCTCTAGAATCTGTGTTGGCTTCAATGAGGTTTGTGATTCCTGACTGTTTAAGCTTTACTCTTCATCATTCTGAGTTGATGCCCTGTAGAAAAGATCTTAGCCAGAGGCACCCATGACATAAATAAAGAACAAGCTTTAATGTGTGCTTCCCGTGCACATCACTGCACATTGGCCCATAACGTCCCTTTGGATCTAAGCAAAGCCCACCAGGGACCTCAGTGGCCTGGTGTGTTTCATTTCATCCATACCAGTGATGTACAAAATACTGCCCTCCAGCCAGGCTACCAAACCTGTTTAAAGTCTCCTCCAATAAACAGCTGAGATATTAACATGAGGTATGAATATGACACACCAGGAGGCTGTGCTGCCATTCAGTGAGACCTGGACCACTCAGGGAGCCTACAGAGGGGAGGGGAATCAACTCTTTGAAAGGGTAGATAATAGCAGGATGAGGGGAAATGGTTTGAAGTTGAGGGAGGGGAGATTTGGTTTGGACGTTGGGGGGAAGTTCTTTACAGAGAGAGTGGTGAGGTGCTGGAACAGCTGCCCAGAGAGGCTGTGGATGCC